AGACTCAGGGGGCGCAGGCGAGACCCGCCAGGTTCCCGGTGCCACAACGGTCCGACCCAAGAGTTAGCTGGTGGACCTGGGAGAGCCCAAGCAGGCTTCCGTCGCAGACACCGTGGGGCACTGACCCCGGGGCACTGACCCCGGCACAAGGGCTGCAGAAGGGGGCACACGGAAACTGACGTGGCCACTCTGGACCGCCCCCCGAGAAACGCATACCACAATGGGCCATCCTGAGGGGGAGAACGAAACCGCGACCGCGGACGCGCCCGACGCACATGGCGAGCGGACGCGCCGCGCGTCGCCTAGGGCGCCGCAGGCGTGACCGGGCGCTTGATATCCCGCCCCGCTGCCACGCGGCAGAATGGAGACATGTCGACCGTGATCGGAAAGGGGAGAGAGCAAGAGAGGGCACCGGCGCACGGCCGCGAGGCATGCCGGCAAGCCCGCGCGGGGGCCTGGCCCGCCCGACGGAGCGGCGGCGCGCGGCGGGTGGTCACGCAGCCGCCCGCTGCCGCGCTCTGCGACGCTGGCGGGGCGCCCCCCCCACGTCAGTCGACTTATGACTTGCAATAACAAGTTAATACCGCCCGTGAAGTAATGCTAATCAATGTAACGCAGCGCAAAGTAATGCAACGCAGTACAAAGTATCGCAAAACAGTCCAATCATTGCAGAGCGATGCAAAGCAATGCCCCGCAGCGCAAAGCCATGCAAATCAGTGCAAGGCAACGCGAATCGATACGAGACAATGAAAGACAACGCAACGCAAAACAATGCAACGCAGTGGAAAGCAATTTAAAATAATGCCAAGAAGTGCTCAGCAATGCAAGCCAATGTGCAATGAATGGCCTTCGGCCCATCCCGCCACCGTGCCTAGGCTGTGGTCCAGAAGCCTCTTGGATGCACGTGAGGGTATTTTGGGAAGCCTCTCCGGCGACTCTTGCCGGGGTCTTGGGGACTTCTGTGGGGCCTCTTGGGGCGTCTTGGGGGTCTCTTGGAGCCTTTTTGGGGAGTCTTGGAGGGGCCTCGGGAATCCTTTGTGGGGGGGCTCTTGTGGCCATTTTTGGAGCGGGAGGCTAATTCGTGTTCCCCCTGTTGGGCCCCTCTTGGGGCCCTCTTGGGTCCTCATGGGCCGTCTTGGGGCCTTCTTGGGGCGTCTTGGGACCCTCGTGGGAGCCTTTGGGCAACCCTGGGGCGCTATTGGGGGTTTCTTGGGCCGTCTTGGAGCGTTGGAGGCTGCAAAAGGCGAGAGGGCTCAAACATGTCAAAAACCTTCGGGAAATCAATGATCTTGGCCTCTTAGGGCCCTCGTGGGGCCACCTTGGAGCTTCTTGGGGGCATTGTTGGCCGTCTTGAGGCCATCTTGAGCGTCGAGGGTGCGATCAAGGGGCGATTTGGGACAGTCGATCTCGGCGGTTTCCCGGGGTTTCCTTGGCCAGTGTTGGGACCCTTTTGGCTTCCAGACGACGCACGCGACACACCCCCAGAGCTCCAGGATTTTTTTCTGGCGCGCCCGGGCAACCCAGGGGTTGGGCCCGGAAGAACATCGAGCCCTGGCTGCTGCAGCAGCAGCACAGCTGTCAGCCTTGGGGTATTCCATTTCGTACCAAAAACACGGTGGCGGATCAATGTGCGGCAGCGCAGAGCAGCGGAAAGAAAGCAGTGCAAGTCAGTGCCATGCAAAGTAGCGCAGAGCAGTGCGAAGTAACCCAAAGCGGCGACGGGGCGGCGACGGCGACAACAAGGCGGCGAACACAGCACTGGGGCCCAGACGAAGGGCGGCGACGAGGCGGCGAAGGGGCAGCGACCGCGATATGGACCCGGCAATGGAGCCCAGACGACGGGCCGCGACGTGGCGGCGACGGCGAGGCGGCGGACCCGGCACCAGAGCCCAGCCGACGGGCGGCGACGAGGCGGCGACGGGGCGGCGACGGCGGCGGCGGACACGGCACCAGAGCCCAACCTGGGGTCAGTCCGACTCCGCCGGTTCGATGCGATTCGAACCGATTCCGGCTTAGCGTTCGCCCGATCCGACACTTGCCGGCCTGCCGGTTCGACGTGTCAGCCGATCTCTACTGATTCCGGCCCCAGGGCCTTTCAGAGCGTGAATTACCTACCCCGCTGTCGCTTCCAGGCAAAGCCAAGTCATACCACGCGCCTCCTCGTCAAGCGGCCTGACCAGTACAGGCCGTAGTTTGGCATCGCTTGGTATCTCTTGGAAGCGAGGGTGGTCAAAAGCGAGGTAGGTTTGTTTGCCCCCTAGCCTTGGCCCCCCGCGAGGGCCCCTCAGGGCCTCCCTCAGGCTTGCTGAGGGCCCAACGACTTCTGCCGTCCCTCGACTCGCGCGGGAGCGGCCACGAGCTGCTCCAGATGTCCCTGGAGATCTCTGGATTCACTCGGGCTTGCCACGATCTATCTGGATGTGTCAGCCACGCGCAAAGCGGGGTGGGGGGAGGGGGAGGGCTTCTTAGAAGCACCCCTGCTTCTTAGAAGGCGCGGGCCTTAATTATGTATAGACGTAAGGCAGGCGCCTTCTAAGAAGCAGCCTCCTTCTAAGAAGCCCTCCCCCCTCCCTCCACACCCTAGTGCGCGCCGCCAACTGTAGCTCGATCCATCTGCAGCTATACCTGGATTTACCTGGCCTGGCCCCCACAAGGATCGGGCCGGACAAAAGGGGGGGATTGGGCAAGGGGGGGGTACGAAATTTGCTGCATGCAGGTGGTTTCGGCCCCACCGAGGAGCCCATTCCTTGGTACATGGACGCCTCCAGCGCCGGGAGGCGCCAGGAAAATCAGCTACGTGAGCCGATTCTCAAACCCCCCCCTTTGCTATCCCCCCCGTGTCGCCCGACCCGAAAGTCGAGTGGCGAGAAGTAGGGACGGGCCCCCACCCTCCGGGGCCCCCCAGGAAGCCTCCAGATGTCCCTGGAGATCTCTGGATTCACTCGGGCTTGCCACGATCTGTCTGGATGTAGCTCGATCTATCTGCAGCTACCTGGATGTACCTGGCCTGGCCCCCACAAGTCATTGGCGAGAAGTCGTCAAGCCCCTGGGGGCGGGCCCCCCCACCCCCCAGGGAGCCTCCAGGGGGTTAAGTCGGGCCTGTCCCCCTGCAGGGAGATTTTCGACGAAAAATGAATCAAATACCCAAGAATGCACCAAAAAAGGCAAACACAAATATTTAAGAAATAGTCCCCAGGCTATTGTTGCATTATTTGTTGGCTATTCTTGGGTATTTTTTACGTTTCGTCGAACATCCCCCTGTCGGGTATTTTTTATTTTTCGTCTTATGTTTGGTATTTCTTTCTATTATGTTTGGTATTATTTTGTATTATTTTGGGTATTAGTTATTTTTGTACGTAGCATTGTTGTTGGTATTATTTTGAGTATTTTTTACGTTTCGTCGAAAATCCCCCTGTCGGGGGACACGCCCGACTTAACTCCCGGGGCCTCGGGCCCGGGGGGGCCCCGCGGGGCACCCCAGGGGCTCCCCAGGGTTGAGTCGGGCCTGTCCCCCTGCAGGGGGGCCTTCGACGAAAAATTAAAAATTCTCCAGAAATGATACAAAAATGATCCCAGAATAGCCTGGGGACTATTTTTGGGGCATTTGTTTGCCATGTTGGGGCATTCTTGTTGTATTTTTTTACTTTTCGCCGAAAATCCCCCTGCACAGTGAGCGGCTTGAGTAAGGAACACTTACTTTTCAAAAGGGGCTCGGTCGTTCCTTAAGGCTTGCATGCGTTACGTATCCTTCCTTATGCGTTTTTATTTTTATTTATCGTTCCTTATCCTTTTTCTCTTGGAAAACAGGGGCTTCGTTTCTTATTTATCGTTCCTTAGGTCAGGCCGATGACTGTAGGGGGACACGCCCGACTTAACCCTAAGGGGCTACGCCCGAGGGGCCGGCCGCCGACGACTGGTCATCGACGTCGACGGCACGCGCCAGCGCGAACGACGACGCGCACGACGACGTGCGACGAAAAGTGCATACGACGACGTTCCTGGCTTTGCACCTTCGCCCTTGTCCCCCCTGCCTTCCGATTTCGATTCCGATCCGGCTTCGCGCGAGCCGGTTTCCGATTCGATCCGGTTCGGATTTGCCGATTCTTGCCGATTTGATGGCGCAGCCGACTTTTACCGATTCTTGTTGATTCGGCTCTCGCTCCGATGCGATTCGATTAATCGACCCGATGCTGGGGCCGCCTGCCAGTTCCTCAGACAAGAAGATACCCTAAAAGGACTATTTAAGGAACATGTTGCAGTCTTCCATAAGAACTTGAATTTTAAGGGCTTGCAGTTCGTTCATGATAATGCTGGTCTTAGAACATGCAGCCAATCTGGAGCCACGCGAAGTTATCACATTGCCAGACCACGAAGCGACCAAAGTTGATGCGAGCGAGGACGATACCAGCTAGTTAGGAATGGCCGCTGTCTGTTTCCCGATGGCACTTGCGTGTGCGAGTCAACCCTACCTTCGGTCACATATTGTCGACGCAGTCACGCACTCGTCAAATTTCAGCTCGGACTTGCAACGCTTATTACAAACTCGCACATGTGCGAGCCAAGACTTGTCTGCTTCGACTCTGGGATCATCACATGTGATCTCGCTTCCTCCCAGGCTCTTGACCAGTGTTTGCTGGAGCGGTGCGTATTCTTGTGTGCCGGATGTGTTGCTCTCGATTATTTCCGGTACATAGCTTTGGTTGTCATTCGAACACACCCATGCGTCTGCAGACGGTGGGTTATCACGTTTGCACGTGTTCCTTTTAGTCGGTGGCTTCATTGTTATTTCCGGTCCCAATTGAAGTGATGTTTTCCGTGTGTGGGTATTCGTGCGATGTGATCAGGTATACCCGTTCCGTCTTCGCACGAGCGATCTCTGCTTATCCCTCTTTCTTCCTACTCCTCATCCCCCCTGTTTCTCCTCTTATATTGTCCCCTTGTCCTCACTCTGATCATCCCACGGTTCCCTTGTTCTGCGCGCTGAAGTTTGCAAACCCCAGGGGCCTGGCCTCATGGCCAACAGCCAGACGGAGGCCACGTTCTCATTATCTGAGTCAGCTGCCTGCCAAAATCGCTTCGACGTCGCGACGTGAAACATCTGGGAAGACGAGAAGGAGGAGGATGGGGAGGGGGAGGAGGAGGGGGAGGAGGCGGAGGAGGAGGCGGAGGAGGAGCCGGAGGAGGAGGAGGAGGAGTAGGAGGAGGAGGAGGAGGAGGAGAGACTGAACAGGAAAGGGAGGGCAGGAGGAGGAGGGGCAGGAGGATGAGCTTCAGGAGAAGTGGAAGGAGGAGGAGGAGCTTGAGAGCAAGAGCCCGAGAGTTCTTCGCGGGACCCTCCCCTGGCTGCCGGGGAGAGCCCGCGGCGCCGCTGCAACCGCTGGCGGCACGTGCTGGAAGGATCGGGAGGAGGGGGAGGAGGAGGAGGAGGAGGAGGAGGAGGAGGAGGAGGAGGAGGAGAGGAGCAGGAGGAGGAGGAGGAGGAGGAGGAGGAGGAGGAGGAGGCGGAGGAGAGAGGAGAGGAGGAGGAGGAGAGCGGAGGGGGAGGAGGAGCAGGAGGAGGGGAGGAGGAAGGAGGAGGATGAGGAGGAGGAGGAGCTTCTGGGAGGGGAGGAGGAGGAGGAGGAGGAGGAGGAGGAGGAGGAGGAGGAGGAGGAGGAGGAGGAGGAGGGAGGAGGAGGAGGAGGAGGAGGAGAGGAGGAGGAGGAGGAAGGAGGAGGAGGAGGAGGAGGAGGAGGAGGAGGAGGAGGAGGAGGAGGAAGAAGAAGAAGAAGAAGAGGAGGAGGAGGAGGAGGAGGCGGAGGAGGAGCAGGAGGAGGAGGAGGAGGAGGAGGAGGAGGAGGACATTCCGGACGTTCGTTCAGGCGCGTGCCCGGGAGGCTCCAGACCCGGGGGGGGGCTCCTGATCTGAGGTGGGCGGCGCCGTTGTCCGTGGCGCAGCCTCGGCTGGGGTACTACCGGCTTCCAGGCCCTGGGCTCCTTATCCAGTCGGGGGCGGAAAAGAGGGGGGTGATGACTAGGGGGGGGGGGATCTCATGGCGCGGGCCATGGTATTTCCCCAGATCTCATGGCGCCTCTTCTCATTTCATTGCGTCCCTGGCCCCCCCGCTGGGCCGCGCACATGCCGCCGGTCATGATTTGCACCCCCCCCTCTTGGACACCCCCACTCTTGGCCGCTCCCGATCCAGGGGCTCCTCCTCCGAGGCCCTCACCGCAGGTCGAGGCTCTCTGGGGGTCGACGCTGCGGCAGCCTCGCGGCGTCGGGGGCCCGGGGAGGCTCCTCGAGAAGCCGAGGACGGCACGGGGCGCTCCAGAGAGAGAGAGAGAGAGAGAGGGATCGAGAAGTTTCGGCCACGCGCACAAGGAGGAGGAGGAGGAGGAGGAGGAGGAGGAGGAGGAGGAGGAGGAGGAGCAGCAGGAGCAGGAGCAGGAGCAGGAGCAGGAGCAGGAGCAGGAGCAGGAGCAGGAGCAGGAGCAGGAGCAGCAGGAGGAGGAGGAGCAGGAGGAGGAGGAGGAGGAGGCTTCTTAGAAGCCTTTCCTCCTCCTTCGGGGAGGGGAAAAGGCTTCCAAGAAGCACCCCTGCTTCTTGGAAGGCGCCGGCCTGATCCATAGATGTAGGGCTAGCGCCTTCTAAGAGGCAGCCTCCTTCTAGGAAGCCTTCCCCCTCCCCCTGCCCCCCTCTGCGCGCCGCAAGAAGTCGGCGTAATTCAGGAGGGGAGAAAACACACAGACACCATTAATCGTCGACCACCCGGAAAATATGCGAAAATATGGGAAGTGGGGGGGGAAAAAGACAAAAGCCAAGAAAATATAGGAAATTATGGGGCATTTTTTCATTTGTGTGTATTTATCGGTGTGTTCTGGGGCCCCTTTAGTAATGGCCAGTGGCCCCCAGAGCAGTCGGCAGAAGCTGGCGGGCGCACAGGCGCGCTCCCACGCGGCCGGGGCCTCTCGCAGAGCCGCGCCCTCGCAGCACGTCCGCCGACCCCCGCGGCGCTCTGGCCCTCGCCCTCGGTCGCCAGCACAACTCGGGGGAGGGCGAGACGAGGCGACGACCCAGACCCCCTCGAGTACTCCGGATTCCATAATCAAGTCGGGGGGGTCACATTTGGGGGGGTGTCTGATTTGAGCTGTCTTGGAGGGCTCGGGGGGGTCTGGGCAAAGGGCCGCCCTTTCATGGATGGTCTGGGAGGGTCTAGAACTTCTCGTCCGGGAGGGCTGAGACCCCCTCCCTTTGATTACGAAATCTGGAGTAGTGAAAAGATCGCGACAGAGGTTTTTTTTTCGCTATCTTTAGCTATCGGGCGCCCTTACCGGGCCTCGGGACCGTCAACAAAACGACTCGGGACAAAAAGCCGGTCCCAGGGAATGGGTCGAGACCTCTGGCGGTCGACGCTCTGAACATCTTCTCGGTGGCCTCCGCAGGAGCACTGCCACGGAGAACACCCTGCTGCGTGGCTGTGCCGCTCCCGGGGTCAAACCACCAGGCCCAGTGGCACAACCACGCGACCACCGAGGGACACTCCAGGAGGGCGGGAAAAACACCACCCCCTGCACGCACCAACGGGCACTGCGGAGGAGGAGGAGGAGGAGGAGGAGGAGGAGGAGGAGGAAGAGGAGGAGGATGAGGAGGAGGAGGAGGAGGAGGAGGGAGGAGGGAGGAGGGAGGAGGGAGGAGGGCCTGACGAGCGCAGCACCACAGGCCGACCTTGACGCTCCCCTGCAGCCAGGCAGGAGGGCGCCCACACACTGACGCTCCCCTGCAGCCAGGCAGAGAGCGCCCGCAGCTGCTGACCTGGGCAACAAGGCCCAATACGCCAGGACAGACAGACAGACAGACAGACAGACAGACAGACAGACGGACGGACGGACGGGCAGACAGACAGACAGACGGACAGAGACAGACAGACAGACAGACGGACGGACAATGGGACCGACGACGACAGCAGCAGCAGCCGCACAAGCAGCGACTCCCAGCCCCCTCTGGGAGGCAAACGGGCTCTGGGTATGCAGAAAGCGAGCTCCAGGCCCTCGTCAATTTTCCCACCCATAATATTGCACACAATTTACACCAGATTTCGTAATACAAGGGAGCAGGTCTGGACCCTCCAAGACAAGCCATTTCAGACCTCCCCCGTGGGAGAACCCTCCAAAACATCGTCCCCAGACCCCCAAAGCCCTCGCAGTACCCGGTTCCGGAGCTGTGGGGGTGGCGGTTGAGGCCCCGTGGCTAGTGACGCATTGGAGCGGCGACGAAATGGCGACAAGAAAAAAAAAAGCATCGTCCCCAGACCCCCCAGGCCCTCCAAGATAGCCTGGAAGAGACCCCCCCCCGAAATGAGACCCCCCTCCCTTTATTACGAAATCTGGAGTAAGGGTTGAGAAAAAATGACGTCAGGGATCCGCGGACGAGGGTGTCCCTGGCTTGGGGTGCCGCGCCGCCGGTTCTGGCCCAACACGCCTCGGCGCGACGCGCTACAGTCGGGGCGTTGACCTAAGGAACCTTAAATTAGGAACGAGGCCCCTTTTTTCCACAGGTTTAACTTCGATTCCCGATCGAAAACATAAGGGAAACCTGAGGCAAGCTGTGAAACACTTACGGAACGCGGAGCCCCTGCCCAACCAAAAGGGTTCCTTCTTCAGGGCCCCGACTGTATGCACGTCTCCGCTCCCAAGCGTCAACGCGCCGAGGTGCCCTCAACCTCCCGCCCCGCGGAACGGAGCGACACGCTATCAGCCTGCAGGGCATGTCGCGTCGCCAGGGCCGCCGCCGCGACACGCCATGCCACAGTTTCTGGCGGCGGCTGGGTGCTGCCACAAGTGCCCCCCTGGCCCGGGGTGTCCCCAGGATTCCCGGGGAGGCCCATATGGTCTCCTCGGCACCCCTCGCGGGGCTCCCAGACCCTCGACGTCGTGTTTTCTCACGACGCCGACCCCCAGAGGTCTGGACCCCTTCCCCGGGATTGGTTTTTCATCGTGGGTGGTTTTCTGACGGTCCCGTGGCCCGGTAGGGGCCCCCAAGGAGCCGAACATAGCAACAACGAACCTCCTGTCTTGATTTTTTCGCAGCGCGAGGGGGTCTGGGCTCAGAGGGCCCCACGGGGGCCTCCGAAGGGCGCGAGCCGCTGGGTGCACCTCGGGCCAGTGGAGGCGGCGATGGAGGAGGAGGAGGAGGAGGAGGAGGAGGAGGAGGAGGAGGAGGAGGAGGAGGAGGAGGCGGACAATGAGGAGGACGAGGAGGAGGAGGTGGAAAAGGAAAGAGGAGGAGGAGGAGGAGGAGGAGGAGGAGGAGGAGGAGGAGGAGGAGGAGGAGGAGGAGGGAGGAGGAGGAGGCAGAGGAGGAGGGGAGGAGGAGGAGGAGGAGGAGGAGGAGGAGGAGGAGGAGGAGGAGGAGGAGGAGGAGGAGGAGGAGGAGGAGGAGGAGGAGGAGGAGGAGGAGGAGGAGGAGGAGGGAGGAGGCGGAGGAGGAGGAGCTTCCGGAGGGGGAGGAGGAGCAGGAGAGGGCAGAGGAGGAGGAGGAGGAGGAGGAGGAGGAGGAGGAGGAAAGGAGGAGGAGGAGGAGGAGGAGGGGAGGGGGAGAGAGGAGGAGGCAGAAAAGGAGGAGGAGGGGGAGGGGGAGGGGAGGAGAAGGAGGAGGAGAGGAGGAGGAGGAGGAGAGAGGAAGAGGAAGAAAGAAACGGAGGAGGAGGAAAAGGAGGAGGAGGATGAGGAGGAGGCGGAGGAGGCAGAGGAGGGGGAGAGGAAGGAGGAGGAGAGGAGGAGGAGGAGGAGGAGGAGGAGGAGGAGGAGGAGAGGAGGAGGAGGAGGAGGAAGGAAAGGAGGAGGAGGAGGAGGAGGAGGGGGGAGGGGAGGAGGAGGAGGAGAAGAGAGGAGGAGGAGGAGGAGGAGGAGGAGGAGGAGGAGGGAGGGGGAGGAGGAGGAGGAGGAGGAGGAGGAGGAGGAGGAGGAGGAGGAGGAGGAGGAAAAGGGGGAGGAGGAGGAGGAGGAAGAAACGGAGGAGGAGGAAAAGGAGGAGGAGGAGGAGGAGGCGGAGGAGGCAGAGGAGGAGGAGGAGGA